AATGCAGTAGGGAGAAAGCAGAGCTTCGCCCTTCATGGCAGTGCTTTCGTCTCAGGGTGCGCCGAACAGGATCCCAAGAGCCAACAGCTGCGCGAGCTCCTCCTCCGCCTGGAACTCCCCTGCCCGGCGCGTGAGGGAGAGAGAGGCACGAGCCCCGCGCGGGCGCTCCTGCCCCCGGACCAGAGAGGAGGAGAACAAAAGCTTCAAGGCGGAGGGGAGGAGGCGACCAAGGCAGCAAAGCGAGGAGCATCGCCTGCAAGCCGAGCGGGCACGCTCGCTCGCTGTGTTTCCCCCTTCCCAGCAAAGCCCGCCTTTTTGGCTCCCCTTCCTCCTCGTTTCGCTTCCCCAGCGGTGAGGGCTTCGCAGAGAGCCAGAAAGCGAGAGGAGCCAAGCAGGAAAGCAGGAAGGAGAAGCCCAGTTCTTCTCAGCCGCTGCCTTTCCCCAGCCTCCGTCTCCTCCCTGGCCGAGCCCAAGTAGCCGCCGCCGCCGCCGCCGCTGCTGCTGGTGCGGCTGTCGCCAGCTTTCGGGGAAAAATGCTCTGGTTTCTCTTCAGATCGCATTTTTGGGGGAGGGCTTATTTTAATGACGGGTCATTAAAATAAGCCCTCCCCCGAAAATAAGCCCTCTGCCCTTTTCTTTCCCCCAAAAGATAATAAGACAGTGTCTTATTATCGGAGAAACACGGTATATATTTCTGTGTGTTTTTTGTTGTAAGCTGCCTAGAGTGGTCTTAACCAACCAGATAGGCGGGATATAAATTAAATAAATAAATAACGAGGAACTGCAATTAACATCAATTTATCAACCAAGATATGAAGCTATGCAGTGATTGTGACTTTAAGCAATGGTTTAACAGATACACGGCCTCTCCCAATTTGAAGAGACCCTTGTCCAGCAGGCTGAAGCAAAGAGGCAGTCCTGGAACCAGCACAATCAGGGAGCTGGACAGGGGACAGATTGTATTTGTCTTCAGTGTGGAAGGGATTGTCAGTCTTGAACTGGCCTCCTCAGCCACACTAGATGCTATTCCAAGTCCTCCATACAGAGCACACTACCATAGTCTCTCAAGACTGAAGGATGCCTAACAGACACAACCAAACACATGAGACAGGCAGGACAAAGTATCTTGCTTTTTCTTTCCAGACAATTAAAAACACTAAAATGAAAGCCGATGATTATTTTTAACTGCTTGTTGTAAACAGAGTGTATCTAATTTCCCTGGGGATTCATGTTTTCCATTTCAGCACTGGTCTTTCGCAGAGCTGCATCAGTTGGTGAAGTTGAAAAGTTTCATAGCATGATTTAGTATTATCTATTCCAGGGCTACTTTTTTATTTATCTCTGTACATGGTCTTCTTGCTACATTTACCATTTTTGACTCTCCCTAACCAAGCAATTAAACTTTGTCTAGATCTGTTTATTATTTGCTTTTAATCAATTTTACTCAATACAACTATTATAATTACCTCCTAGATACTCCCATTACCCATGAAATTAATTAATCTTGTCTTCTTACAGTACTTGAACACTCATACTCTAATAGTGCTTGTATAAGGTTTGTATAAACTACTGTGGTTAATTAGGGCTAACTGACAAGATGTACTGTATCTGTGTGACTGGCTGTACACCTGACTGCAACTAATTTTATTTATTTTTATTTATTTATTTGATTTGTATCCTGCCCATCTGGTCTATACGACCACTCTAGGCGGCTAAGATGCGCCCTGACATTTTGTCAATTAGCCACAGTGTATTATGCAAACTTACCAACAGGATTCTAGCCATCATTTCCATATACAGTATCTCAATCTTATTCTGACATAGTTTGTGAAATGATTCTGGGTAAATTGCAGCTATGGCAACATCATACACCAATACACTGATTTGTTTAGCATGTTCCATTAATTCATAAGGATGCTCCGATCTGTCAAACAAGGGTTGAATCAGCTAATGGATTCTTAGGACACAACTGGCTTACTTGATACTAAGATATTTGTGTCATGAGCATCAGTTTCGTGCATGATCACTATTAATAATATTAAAGTTTCTGGCAATACCTTTCACATTAATTTTCCCCCCAACCATGCATAGATTCAAGCCAGAAGACAATGACAGGGGTGACCAAAGAATATCTAGACTGTGAATAATGCTGCATTGTACAACCTGTATAGATTCCAGATTCTTAATGTGAAAAGAAGCTATTTTGTGTTAACTCTTTCATTGTAGGAGTAAATTAGTTTTTAAAAAAATCACAGTAAATGGATGTCTCACCAGCCTTTTTCCTCTCTTTATTTCACTCAGAACTGAAGTCACATCAAACCTTATATCAACATTGTCAGGACTATATTCTTCAGATTCCATAAGTCCAGAGGAATATAACTAAAAATAAATATGGCAAGATTTATTTATTCTGAAAGTCAGAGCATATCAAATTAAAGCAACAATGAATATCAGCAAATGAAATTGTATTCAGTGTTCTTTCCTAGACTTGCATATTAGTTCTGCATATTTATTTATCCATGAGTAAAGGTAAAGGTTCCCCTTGACATTTAGTCTACTTGTGTCCGACTCTAGGACGCGGTGCTCATATCCGTCTCCAAGCCGTAGAGCCAGCGTTTGTCCATAGACAGTTTTGGTGGTCACGTGGCCAGCACAACTAGACATAGAATACTGTTACCTTCCCACTGAGATGGTATCTATTTATCTACTCGCATTTACATGCCTTCGAACTGCTAGGCTGGCAGGAGCTGGGACAAGCAATGGGAGCTCATTCCATCATGTGGATTCAATCTTACGACTGCTGGTCTTCTGATCTTGCAGCACAGAGGCTTTTGCGGTTTAACCCGCAGCGCCACCACATCCCACTATCCATAAGTAAAAACTATTCTAAATTATGCAGAATTTAAAATTTTATTTTAACCAGAATTGAGCACAATACCTGACTGCTGTCCTTTAATCTTAGAAGATAAAGGATGGTTCAAGAACCTCTACTCAACACAGAAATGAGGCAGTTGAAGATAAAAGAATGGTCATGTTTGTTCACAAAGGAATCTTTCAGGCATCTATCCTTCTTCCAAAAATCTATAGCTAATCAGGCAGCGAAAAAGTGGAAAGAGCTACCTTAGCTGAATAAGTAAGAGTCACTGCCTTTCTTTCCTCAGTTTTCCCTGTTTCCAAATCTAGAAAAGAAGAAACCATTCACTTCTACTATCTTTAATTATTTTTATTTATACCCCACCCATTTAGTGAACATGCCACTACTCTTGGCTGCTTACAAAATATAAAACCTATAGCTAAAATATTAAAACCACATAAAACATATTAAAAGAAAACCAAAAAAACCCTACCCCCCCCATAGAACCACCAGTCTGGGACATAGGATGGCAGACATCTCAATGTTCTTCCCCCTTAACATCTTTTGGAGTTTCCATGCATGTCCAAGTGACCTTTGGGATACCTGGAAAGCAATTTCTCCCACAGCTAGCACACCTATTATAATTCTGAATAATTTATGGTTGTGTAGATACTACAAATACAGTCAACCCTTGACTTACGAACATCCCTAGATACAAACTTTTCAATTTACAAATGGCTCAGTTGGCAAAAATTGGCATTGACTTGCGAACGGAGCTCAACCTACGAACGAGGTGGAGGCTCCATTGGCAAGTCAATGCCATTTTTTTGGCGAATTCGAATTCCCCACCCTTTCTCCCTGCATACGGAGCTCTCAAAGGGCTTCCTCCGATGTCAGGGGGGGGGAGCCCTTTGAGAGCTCAGAAGGCACCGATCGCGGTAGCAGGGACCCCCAGGGAAGTCTCCCATGGTGCTGGGCAAGCCCTGGGAGACCTCCCTGGGGGTCCCCGCTGCCGCAATCGGCACCTTCGGAGCTCTCAAAGGGCTTTCCCCCAGACATTGGAGGAAGCCCTTTGAGCCCTCCGAAGCCAAAAAGGCAGGGAGAAAGGGCGGGAAATTCGAATTCCCAGCCCTTTCCTTCTGCCGTTTTGCCTTATGAAATGCTGGAACGGATTAATTCCGTTCCCATGCATTTCAATGGGAAATGGTACTTCAACTTACGAACTTTTTGACGTACGAGTGTCGTTGCAAAACGGATTAAGTTCATAAGTCGAGGTATCATTGTACGTATTGGATAGAACGCCTAGGGACAGATGAAATCTACTACCAAGAAAGTTCAAATGGTATTTTTCAAAATTCTTATATATGAAGTACAGAATTGGTTATGTGCCATATAACTGATTATTTTTACAAATGATAAATACTAGTAAAATCCACATTAGGGCAATAGCTTTATTAGACCACAACAAGCTCATGAAACAGCTTTCAGTATTTTAAGTTGTCTAGTCCTCAAGTGAAATGATAACTAAACCCCCTTCCCTAAAAACTGGTGATGATCAAGCCATGAAATTTGCATTAAAACATCATGAGTGTTTGGGACCTGAACACAAACCTGATTATTTTATTTTATAAATTATTTGTAACAGCAAATCTCTTCTTCTAGAGCCATACACCAAAAAAGTGTAATTATTATGAAATTGCTTGAAAAGGGGCTGTTCAATTATTTTGTGCAATATTTTATTTATTTATTTATTCCATTTATACCCCGCCTATCTGGTCACTGTGACCACTCTAGGCGGCAATCAGAATGTTGTTGCAAACCTCACCAAACAGTCCTGATGAGCCGCAAGGTTCTGTTCTTTAGCAACATACATAATTGCACATTCTTCATCTTCTGGACAAAATGCACACTTTCTTCTGATCATTTTTGCCATTATGAAGTCAGCTAAGGAGAGTAACCTTTGAAAAGGATTAACACAACACACTGTCTCATAGGTCAAGCAGGGTAACAACAAATTAAAATGCATGAACACAATAAACTACTAAGAAATCCCCAAACATTGCATTTCAGTCTCCTTTAAAGTCTTGCATGTTTCAAAACATCACGGTCCCAGATAAACTTCCTTAACATCTGCTCATGAGGTATTTCCTGCAAATTTCCCAATTAACCATCACCCCACCTCCCTCTTACTCCATCATAAACTGCTTGCCAGCAGTGATATACCATGGGAGTAGGAGTTAAGAAGCAAGCTAGGCTACAGCAGGAGCTCCTCTTTGGGTAAGGAGAAAAATCTAAAGCACGGGGCTTTTTGGATACAAGACGTTTTATACTCCAGGGGAAAGACTGACAAAAATCCTAGCATCCTCACTTTAAAAGGCTCTTAAGCAGGAGTGTTTCTTTCTGCTTCAGATTTTCAAGGCTCATTGCTAAACTAAATGTGTCCACAGTTTGATTCAATATAAGGTGCCCCTTAAGCTGTGGGGTGGAATTGTGGCTCATTGGTAAGAAACACTCCCTCTCTGCAAAAGTCCAAACTTCATTTTCAAGCATCTTCATACCAGACCTGGGAAAGACCTTTGCTACAGATATAGGAGAGTTTCTGATAGTTTCGAATTTGATGCTAATACTGTAATGTTACAAGAAGGGAAACAGCCTGGTCATGCCTAAAACAAAGCCACACATCAAATAACTGATTCCATAAAGTAAATTACAATGTTCAAAGTACACTTATATACATATTTGGTTGTTGTTGATCTGGACACACTCTTCATTCAAACATATGCCTCATTCAAGAAGGACTGCATCAACTCACCCTTCCACTCGGGGACACCAGACAAAAACAGCTAGACTATGTCTCCTGCCAGCACTGCAATCCTCAGAAGGCTCTCATTGCAGTTTGTCTGATCTGCATTTCATTTTTTTTAATTCAATGCACAGATATCTAAGCAACAGATCAGTAGACAATTTACATTAGAGAAAAAAGGGGGTAGATGGGGGAATAGGCTTCTTTTTCAGTGCCTGCCAAGAAAAGACCCTAAAAGACAAAGCTGTTTCTCATGGGGAAACTTTGTCAAAGTCTGTGGCAGAGGTAACAAAAGATGCAGAAGTTCTGTAGGAAATTCCAAATCAGAGTAAAATAATAATTTTATTTGACTATTAAAACCTCATAAAAAAAGAGAAAGCTTTCAAGTCTTCCAGTGTTCTTCATCAGGATGGGTATTATAGAAGAGAGAAAAAAATTCTCAAACCATCCTGGTCACATGGATCACATAACCCCTGTCCCAGCAGCTCTAATGGCTGCTGATCTATTTCTGGGTACAATTCAATGTGCTGTTCTAACCTTAAAAGCCCTAAATAGTTTGGGCCCAAGCTATCTCAAGGACGTCTCCTGCTTTTATGAACCTACTCAAGTGTTAAGATCAACAGAAGAGGCCTTTCTCTCAGTCCTACCAGCTTCTCAAGTCTGTTTGGTGGGGACAAGTGAAACGGCCTTCTCTGCTGCTGCGCCCAGATTTTGGAACTCCCTCCCACAGAAACAAGACTGGACTCATCTTTGCTATCTTCCCCCAAGCAAGTGAAGGCCTTTCTCTTCAGGTAAGTTATATCCCTCATGACTGGCTGCCTGAGTGGGGTTCTTAAATGGATTGTTGTGCCTTACTGTTCTGAATGTATTCTTGGTGTTGCGTCTGTTTACTGTTTTTCAGTGTGGCATTTGAATACTGTTTTTAGATTTAAATATTGTCTTTTAATGATGTAAGCTACCTTGGGTCCTTTTTAAGGAGAAAGGCAAGTTAAAAATATTTTAAATAAATAAATAATAAGTTAAAGGTACAGAACTTGCAGTTAGACTAAAGTTCCAAGAGGCAAATTGCAGATTAATGAATCAGTTTAAGGTATGATGGCATCAGGCTTTATTTTCAGGGATGTATAGTCAAATGCCATTCCCCATCTCACAGATCTGTTGTTTTTTTAAGCCAAACAAAACAGGTAAACAAAATCACAGCTTTTTATCGTTCGCGCCACAGTGGAACTGGGAGCCAAGGGCAACCCTCCTTTCTCCTCCCTTTAAGGAAATACCTGGCTCTTGTAAGGATCAGACACGGACCTGCTCACCCCCACCCCCGG